GTCAATGGGTTAGAGGTAGAGCTGCACACTTCTGCTCCTATGGCAAGTGTCCCAAAGATGACTGAGAAGCTTTCAAACTTGAAAAAGACAGGTTTTCTTTGAACACCTGAGTGATTAACTTCTAAGAAATGAAAACCCAATGTGACTAGGGAAGTCAGAAGAGAAATGGTAAAGTTTCTCCTCCAACCCTGTGCCAAACACCGGTACATGCATGTTGAATGTGAACTTAAGCCCAATCCATAAGCTCCCCCAGGACAGCCTCTAATGGCCAGGACAAATAAGAACACAGTATTAGCTCCAGCACTCTTACTTGCAGTGTTCAGGGACATTTTGGATGGGGCTTTGAGCAACCTGGTCTAGTGGAAGGTGTCCAGGTCCGTGGCAGGGGTGTTGGAATTAGATGATCTTTAAGGTTCCTTCTAATGTAAAGCGTTCTATGATTCTGTGAACTTGCTTGTTGAGGGTCTTCATCCACATTGCTTTCTTTGCTAGCAAGCAGTGGTGTGTTGTTGGACCAATGAACAAGCCAGGCAACCGACCATTGCCACAACACCATGGGACTGGCAACATAACCCCATGTTTTTTAATGTCAGTCACCTAAAACAAAACTCATGTTGGTGCAGGGGAGCTGTGCACGGCCACCTGTTGAAATTTGTACGAGCTTTTATCATCGGCCAGATTTGTCTTTGGAGCAAAGGATACTCCCCCGTTCAGACCTTCAAAAGTTAAACTGGTGCTTAATGTTGCCAACCTCACCCTTCCTGTCCCCTCCTCACCTGCCTTTGATGGTAAGCCAGGTATTGTTTGGATGATTTATACACCCAGTTCTGTTTCTTCACCACCGAAATGCCATCAGCTATTTCTTTACCGGAGCACACTGTGTTCATGAGGACTGATAATTATGGTTGTTTTCCTCTTCTATAAATCCTGTGGAATTTATACTCACAGGTGCTCTCTGAAAATGCTGTGGAAGCAAAGAGTCACCATATTCTCTCTGAGTTTACAGCAGGGACAATCAGTGTAAGTGGGAAAAGTGCCATCTTCTTGGACGTGCACCCTTGAAAGAGACATGAGCACCTATATGGTTTCTCTCTGAACCAAGATATTGCTTGAGGTCTGAAGTGCCTGGGTTTATCTTTTCCATGTGCTCACATTCTGTTTTGCTATAACTTTCCATTGAATCATAGAATCATAGAATGATAGAATGGTTTGGGTTGGAAAGGACCTTAAGATCATCCAGTTCCAACCACCCTGCCATGGGCAGGGACACCACACAATAAACCATGTCACCCAAGGCTCTGTCCAGCCTGGCCTTGAACACTGCCAGGGATGGAGCATTCACAACTTCATCTTCTTCTGTCCTAAAACTGAGTCAAACCTGGAAATTCTATCCTACGGAAAATTCTGGCATTTCACATGTTTCCATTCCCAGTCAAAATTGAAAGAATATGTTTAGAAATTCCAGCTTGGAAAAAAAACCCCAACAACTATTGCCCATCACCTGAGCCATCCCCATTGGAATATAGCTGACATGTTTTTGCCAAACATTTTATTTTCTTTTTCTATCACAATAGAGAAAGGATATTTAAAAAAAATCCCTTTAATCTTTAACAAGTTAATCAAAATTGTCAGATGACCTTTTGTTTTGATAAAACAGTATTATTCTGACCAAAAAGCACTAAGCATTTAGCCAGAAGGTATAATCTAAGCCTATTCTTTTCCTCCCCTATTCTTTCCTCCTGTGCCAAATTCATGAACACAGAGACACGGAGGAGACCCACATTCTTCTAAAGGTCTTCTTGCCACAGAGAAACCCTTTGCCACAAAAATCCTTTCCTGTCAATAAGGCCATTCACTGATTTGACATTATTGGCACTCTCCTGCCTGGTAACAAAAGCCTCCATAAAGAGTCATTCCCAAACAGAGCGATTTATATAGTTTGGGAAACAGTTGGCTGTGGCCAAGATGCTCAGTCTGTCTCACCTACAGAACTGCACCTTCACTTGAAACCCTAGCACTTAACATTACACCTAGTCTGCTACGTTACATTCATCCTATGATCTGGAATACCACAAAACCCCAAACAAAATGGTGTATTGCTGCGTCTGTGAGAAATGCTGTGTAATCAGAGACATTTCCCAGAAAGGGCTGCTATCATTCTGTGCAAAAGCACAGTTGGGCTTTTTCTTTATGCTGGAGATCCTTTTGCCTTTTCCAAAGAGCATTTGGACAAGAGAGTTCAGGAAAAATAGAAGCTAAGACAGTTGCACTACACTTATAATAACTTTCAAATAGGATAATATTAAATGACATGAACAACATGCTAAATTTGCAAACCTGTGAACAATCACAATTTACTGACATACTCCACCCCTGCTGAAACATCTGAAATACACGCAGATCGTGACGCTACTTCCCACTAGCACAGTGATGTGGCCTTACTGCTCCTAGAATTGAGAGTGAAGGTTTAAACCTGACCGAAAGGGAGAAGATCCAGATAGACCAATTTTTGGAAGGAAAGGATACTTAGGAAATCATCTATAAACCATAATCATGAGTTTTCTCTCCAGGACATTTAGGTTAAATATTAGACAACTGCAATCATCGTTGAATACAATAGGAAAAAAGTGTACTAAACCTTGATAGATCCATTTATGTGCTCTTCCCAGTGAAAAAGCTGGAGGGGTGTGAAGTGATACCTCTCTGCCATGCTACATATTGCCCTGGCATATGGGTCTCTGCTGGTGAACCTTAGCGATTAAACCCGCTGCAACTTCAGCTTAGCCACAGTGCCAAGGACAAACCGGAGCATGAGGTCACTGAAAGAGAAACACATGTTCATGAGTTTGTCAGCTCTTTAGCTAATTATCTGTCAGATCTTGAAGCTCTCAAATCCTCTGGGGCTCACACGCAAAAGGAAGGTGGTGCCCTTCTTGTCCCATCTTTCAGCAGGGAATCCATGGACTTTCTCTGGAAGATTATCCACATGCCACATTCTGTCCATGCATCAATCACGTGCCATTATCTAGCTGCCGTTGGCTGGGGTCCTGTCTCCAGGGACTTTGGTAGAAAAGGCCCCAAATGACCTTAATGGATCAGGATCCAGTCTTAGTATGTAAGAAAAAAGCATCTCTCCTTTCTTTTTGTGTCATAATCCCTCACTAGGCACACATGGAAGATTTATTTTAATAGGAATTCTTTATAGATGTCAAAGATTACTTTATAAATGTCTCCAAAACACCTTTGTAGCCAAAGCACTTTATGTTTTTATCTCTCTCTGTATTTTTGTGTACATACACAGATATATGTAGCATAGGATCGCACAGTATCTAAACAAGAGTGTATTTTGGTTTTGTCAGAGCTCAACCGTAATACAATAAGAGTTAATCTCACCATTGAAAAGTCAGCTCTTCATCTAACTTTCTGTCTTACACAAATGCTATGTCATCTCCTGAGCCACGCAGGATGGATGATCAGCCATAGCATTACCAAACGAGGCCGCAAGCTATAAGCTGGCTGCAGCAGTGTGGTTGCCTGAGGCAGGGGGAATTATTACTTGCTCTGTGGTATCTGTCAGCATCTTGCCATGAGCTTTTATTCTATAGTTATGAAAAGGACCTGAGGCACAGCAGGCATTATGCATGATCTGCTGCATAAAAAAGGATCATGCCCTTATCAGTTTTCTACAGTAATTTGCTAAATGTCATTGCTCTAACCCAGGTCTCATCCTGCAGAGCCCTGGCATGCTGTGGTCCTGATAAATGCAGTCTGTCCTTCCCCTCACACTCATGTGAGTGTTTGCTCTGTCATGGGATCTTCTGAATTCTGGATGTCTGATAGGCCAGTTAGCTGCCTGCATAAATATTTTCACTTTCTTATAGTCAATGCTGAAACAAAAACTTTAACTGAAAATAGCTTGGGGTAGTTATCATTGTCTTAAAATTAATTTCATAATGCATTCTGTTCATGGACTCATTGATTAGTGCTCCTGTGCTGGCTTTTGAAGTTCAGATGGCAATATTGCTTTTGAATTGCAGAGTACAATGTTGCAGAGAAATAACATTTTTACCACCAGAAGCATTACATTTTAGTTGTGTTTATATCTGGAAGGCTATCCTAAGCTGCTCATGGAAAAGTAAAGCTAAACATTCTAGCTCAGAAACAGTGATACATGTTTATTGCTAACAGATTTGACTGTGTGACTTAAAGGGCTGATTATCATTGCTATCTACTTTTTCTGCATCCTAAAGAGATTTGAAATGATAAAAAGAAAATAGTAGGCTCGACTCTACCAGCTGCAGATTTAAGGAGAACATTTTAAAACCTCAATAAGAGTTTTAAATAAGAAGAAGGTGAGATCCTAGTTTGGATGGTGAGCTATTTTTGACGTTATTTGATGTAAGAACTCAACATGGATCTTTTTGAAATATGGTTCTTATTACCATTTGGACAAAGCACATTTCCTTTTCTTGATTCAATCATGAAAAAATTCCACTTACAGATAGTCCATACATTAGTGCAGCCTCTTTCACACATTACTACATCATAATACAGTTGGCTGCACTTGCCTCGAGCAGGTCCACTCTATCCATATGGCCTGGCTTTATTATTTCTTGCTCCCATCTGTTTTAAGTTACCTTCTTTGGTCTACTTTTTTCCAAGAGATGCTCTTCAAATATGTGCAGAAAGGCTGTTTCTGTGAGAAAATGTGAACAGGGGACTTTTCCACCCTCACATCTGTGCAAGGTTCACTGAAGTCAATGGAGCCTACTGGTGTAGATTTTGGCTTTCTGGAGTCTGTTAAACCCCATTTTGTCTGCATGGCCTAAGTTTGCATTGCAAAACCCTAGAGGCCTGGTTTTGAAATCCTTTATTCATATGAATATCCCTGCTGGAGAGCAGCATCTTGCAAAAAGATGTCTTTCATTTGCATTTTCACGTTCACATTCACCTTTTTTTCCCCTCCTTATCTCTCCCCAGAGGGTCAGTGAGTACTGAACACACCCTCCACGTGGGAGTAGTAAAGCAAAAGCCCTGAAGCTTTTCCATCCTTACAGACAAGTTAAACCATCAAAACCTAGATGATATTTCTACTGACTTCCACAAGCTTTTGATGAGCCTCAGCATGGGCTGGGAAGCCCAGAGAAGCAAATCCAGCTCACAAGACCTTCTACCATCCACGCTCACTAGATGGTCAGCCCATCAAAGCCACTTCCTTGTTAGGGAGTCCATAATCTTCTCCTTTCTTGTTCTCTCCTGAAACTCGATGTTCCCAACATAGTGATGCCATTTGACATTGCTGATCCCTCCTAAACACCTGCTATCAAATGCATCAAATCTTTTCTTGTCAGCTTGCGTAATGCCCCAGGTCTTTGCAGTATCAAGCAAAACTGATACCACACAGCTGTTGTAGAGCCTTATTTTTTGTTTTGCGGACATGTCACTGCCCCATACTTTTGCCCTTGAATTTATTTACATTGATCTTCACCTTATACTGGTCAAGCTTAAAATGACATCAGGCAAAATCCGGGGAGAGTGGACCAGAACTCTGGGAATGGGAATAATACAAAAACACGAACGCTGCCACGATTACGACTGACCTCAAAGAGGAAGGACAAATCCAGTGTTCCTATTCCTCAACAGACCCAAAGTCATGATTTAACCGAAAGCTTTGATATTTGTTTCCTCTGAAAGTTTCAATTTTTAGGAACTTTTTTAAACGTGATCGCTAGCCTTTGGGCTCACCAAAGAGGAGCCAAGACTCTAATACTTGTTAATAGCTCAACATGCTGTATTGTGAATCCCCTTAGGGACAGAAGACAGTGGATCTTAAATAACGCATTAAGGATGAAGGATGGGTTTTCTTTTTCAAAAGAGAAAACTTGTGATACAGCTGAATTTATTGATGAAGTTCTGCAGTGAAATTTAAAAAGGAAATAACAGAGGGGGGAAAAAGTGGAAGTAAAAGCTCTGTGCATAATTGTTTTCATTTGTCCAGAGGTAGGTAACACCATTTATCACAATTTCTAAACCACCTTCTGACTATTTTTAAGTTACATAGAAAGTCTAAAAGCAAAGAGACATAGATTGATCCTGTTGAGTTTTAAATTAATTTAAATTAACCTTTCCTGATTTGCTTTCTCTGCTGTTTAAACTTTCTTTGTGTGAGTGTGGAGAAACAATAAAGTGTGTCTGGATATTTGTGGAATAAATGGAATAAGGAAATAATTTTAAAATAATTGGAAATAATAATATGGAAATAATTTGAAATAAATTAAAAAAAATCTTTTGAAAAAGCCTAGATCTGTGTAGAATGTCTTTTTTTTATAGACAAATTTCAGGAAACGTCCACAATTGCACAATCAGGCTATGCCAGCACATGCAGAGCACTGCATATATTCATTCAAGGTAATATTATGCCACAAAATAAAGAAATATTCCTTCCTAGAATAGTAGAATTTTATGAGAAAAAATTAACACAATATGATCAGACATAAAAGAATATATTAAGCCTAAAGAATTAAAAAGTTTAACGTTTTCTCCAGTATTGAAGAGGGCATTAATAGGACATTAATAATATGAACAATAAATGTTAAAATGTATTTTAAATAATAATATCTAATATAACTACAATTATATAGTTACATTATATTATATATATAATACATAAATTATTATAATATCTTTTTTATAATCATCATAATAGTATTTCAACAGTAGGTTTGAAAATAACTGTTAAAACAAATATGCAAAAATAATTTTCAATTTTTAAATAATTCTGTATTACTAATTATTAATTATATTTTACATAGTATACTTATTATTTTTATTTATATATTTTAATATGTAAATGTAATTAATATGTATATTAATATGTATTTAATTTACACATTACATGCGTGAATAAACTGCTTGCAGTTTGCAAACACACCTTTCTGGCAATTAACATGAGACTCTGGGGTATTTTAATTTTTTCCTCATAATTAAAAGCCATGTGCATACAAACTATCCAGCATCAAATTGAGTCTAGCTGTAACTTCATAATTTTCATCTAATTCCTATTAACTGTGACCAGGCTCGTGTTCTATGAGAATCCTGGAATATTTTTATCTTCCAAAGGAATAAAGTTAGCATGCAGCTAAGGAACGAGTCAATAACTGCACTTGACAGTTCAACATGAGGAATTTTTCTGTGATCATTTTTTACATAGCTTATTCTAAACATTGTTTTTATTGTTTACATATTTAAATAAACATAAATGTAAATGTAAACGTAAATGTCAATAGAAATATATGCAAATAGAAATACAATTATAATTGTAAATAGGAATAAAATTATAAATGTAAATCGAAATACAATTAGAAGTAGAAATAGAAATATAAATATTAATATAAATATTAATGTATTAATATAAATATAAATATTAATGTAAATATTAATGCAAATAGAAGTATTAGTATAAATATACAGATAAAACATATAATTCAAACATAAGTGTGTGATTAAAAAGCACATTTGAGAAGCTATTCCTTAATTACAAGATGATTAAATCAAAGTTGAAAAGATTTACAGCCTCATCTACAAACCTTCTCTAGAGCAAAGATTTCTATTCATAGGAACAGATACTGTAAGTTTTAGGGCTCATTCTAGATTCTGGTCCTGACAGGAGACATAGACCCATCATGCCTGTTGGGATAAAATCTGTCCATAAGCAGTTATCAGAATAGTCCTATTTTTTTTGTGCTAGAGAACAGTCTTTGCCATCCAAGATTCAAGGGATTTATTCTTCTGAAGTTAATAAAAAAAAAATCATCTTCATTTGAACTTCTAAAAAATTAATTCAGATACTTGAGTTGCAGTTTTAAATGGGGGTGATTTAGGGGAGAAATAATAACTTCAGTGCAACTAATAATATGAGTAATCATAGAATCAACTAGGTTGGAGAAGACCACTACGACATCTCCGATTTGCAAGTAAGGATGCATCCTTTCTCTATGAAAAATGCACTTTTTTATGACAGTGAAATTAGGTTTTTAACTCTTCCAGGGTTGGCTTGTTTGGTTTTTTTTTCATGAAATGGCACTCTGTCATTAGCTGGTTAAATCCCACTTCAGCTGAATTTGCTTTGAACCCAAAAGTAGCACCGTAATGAGAAAACACATTTTAAAACCTTTAAAACATGGGCTGGACCCTTTACAGAATGTGTCTTTTAATAGCAACAGTGACATAAGATAGCGGTGCCTTTCAACTATGGGGCTATTTTTTGCCAAGATCATGTCAAATCAACTAAAAAGAGGCCAATTGATAATGAGCTTGTGTATGTCTGAGGTCATTATTTCTGGGCAATGAGGTATCAAATTCTGAGCAGCAGTTACCTGCGTAAAGAGCAGTAAAACAGAGGTGATTTTAACTAGAGCATTAATAGCATGCAATGTGATCCTTTTTCATTGAAATCATGAGGGTTTGGGGTTTTTCCTGCCACCCTGTTTCCTTTTTTTAAATGTTAGGACTCTTTGAATGTGGCCAACAGGAGCAGCACATCTCTGTCCCAGCCCCAGTCCATGACTGGCTGAGAGCCATCCTTGGCCTGGAAAGAGGTCCTGGCATCAGACAGGGATAAGGACAAGCTCAGCCTTGGTAGATTAGGGTATGGATAAAGGAAATACATCCCACCCCAAAAGGTGGGAGCAGCACAGTGAAGGTGGCACAGAGGGTCAGTGGAAAGACCCCTCAGTGTCCAGCTTTGGAGGATGACTGAGCTGAAATAGCTGTTCCACCAGTGAGATGAAGATGTTGGGCAAGAGAGCATGAGGCTCCATGAAGCTGCGCATGGGCAGACCTGACTGTATATCAGACTAACTGATTTCTGGTGGAAATGAGTTTGCAAACACACAGACATGTGGACACTGTGCCCAGGCTGAAACATATGATCTAGAATAACAGTAAAAGAATACATCTGGGCAGGGAATTCAAAGCTGTCCAGCTGAATTGTTTCCCAGGAGACAGGCAGCATGGGCAGAGGTCCTCTATAGAGGCTGATGCCCATAAAGCTGGTTATCTGAATCAGAGCCCAACTCCTCATGTGATGCCAGCTTTGATCTCCAGAGCTGATATCCCTCTTAGCTGAGCAGCTGCTCGCAGGGAATTTTCCAAGAGCAGTCTTGTCTCTGTTCGTTAGCCCTTCTCATGGCATAATATCATGATGTGTTGACTTTGGGTAGCCAGCTAGTGTCATTTAGGGAATAGTGCCATGTGTATGACTTTGTACTTCGCACAAGAAACCTGGTGAGCCAGAGGCAGATAAAGGGTGTAGTCAGGTATGACACCAGAAGGATGCAGGTCCCAACATTGTTTTGTTTCCATGTGAATAACACCAGAACATGTGTTTAGGCAGGGGTCACCCACAAAAGCAAAATACAATGCTCCCTGTCTTTCAAACTGCTGAAACTGTCATCTGTCTCAAATAGGAATATACGTTTTGTATTTACTTTTGGGCCACATAGGAAGCCACACTACAAAACCTCTCTCTACCAGTGAGCATGGGGGATGGACTGAAAAGAAATGCAGTAACAACTGGTCCTAAGCAATGGTAGCAGAAGGAAGGTCCATGAAAATGCAATCAAAGCAAATGGGACAAAAATTGTCAGTGCACACAAAATGCCATCAAGATAAAGCAGCTTCACCCATAGCTAGACCATTGATTAAACTACATAGGTATAAAGAACTCCAGCTCAGTACAAACTCTCCCTTCCCTATTCAGTATCCCATAAAGCTGTATTCACCAATGTCCTCTCCCTGTGCCAAAGACATCAGCAAGAGCTGAACCTTGGCAGTATTCCGCTCCAGAAATCACATGGGACTGGGACTGGGAGAGCACAGAAACTGGCTACTGTTCTGGATTCAGAATAAAGCTCTGAGGTCTCAAAAAGCAGATTTGGTGCCATTGCTCTTAAATGCAAGAGACATTAGGGTCAGCAGCGGGGATGCTGCAGGCAACATGGAGCAATTATGTTCTGTGAATTCTGCCCTGCAGAGCTTACTCAGGTGGACAGACTCATTAACAACAATTAACATCCCATTTCCAGGCATGGCTTGTAAAAGGGTAATCACTGACTCAAAGCTGAAGTAACATTTAAAAGTCAGGTTTACTGCACGTCCAAGTCAAACAAACCAGATCTGAGTTTCTGCAGACGCTCAGTAGTCTCATGTGCTGTTTCTGGGCAACAGGGAGGCTGTTACACAAACAGCTCCAGCGGGCTGAAACCATGCTTTATTCAACCCATTTCTGAGCAGTGCCCAGCTGCATTCTGCCTCCCTGCTTATTTATTATTCAGCATTAGGTGACCTTGTTACCAGAGCAGTTTTGCTTGGAAAACATTAAGGGGAGGTTCAGAAGTTATTGGAGCTTTCTTATCGCGTAGCCAACATGATTTCCTAATCAGTACACATCTGCCTTGCATTTTGTGAATTTTAGCACACTGTGGCCAGAAAAGCTTTTCTGGAGCCTGCTTGGTTGTTATACACTCAAGTCACTGCTGCTTCACATCCTGGTCCTCCAAACGCTCAAGTACTTGAGTTACTTTGAATGTCTAAGCAGTCCCATTAACCTAGTGGGAATATCTGAGTGGGTAAGCGTCTGCAAGATCCTAAATCTGAAGTGAGGCTGAAAAGCATAGGTGAAAAGGGGCCAGAGAGAAGGGAGGAGATGATAAAACCACACTAAGTAGTGAGCAACCTTGGGCTGTGAAATTGGGTGTTACTATTTAGCTCCACATGGTAGAACAATGGGGAACTTCTTGTAGCACAGGTAAGATAACAAACTGAGAAATGACAGAAGGAAATACTAGCTTTCAATCAAGTCCTGTAATACTCTCTTCATCACAAAACTAATTCATGCTGGAAATTAATCAAAACATACAACAAAGGGAACTGTTGTACTTCTCCCTAGCTATGGAAGAACAATACATGTGTTGGGTGATTATATGAGGAAAGAGATAGAG